TCTTTCTACAGTCGCTAAAGCAGCGTGGTCTTAATGGGTTTGTATTTTCGTCTGTGTTAGTTCATATCTGATTATTAAAGAAACAGTAATTTGAATAAGAATGGCAGTATAGGCTCATATACTTGAATGCTCAGTCACCAAAAAGTAGAACTTTGATAGGATTAGAAGGATAAGGAAGTGTGACCTTGTTAGAGGAAGTGTGTCACTGGGGGTGGGATTTGAGGTTTCAAAGCCCATGCTAGGCCCCAGCTCTTTCTCTGTCTGCAGATCAAGATGAGGATCTTCACCAACCCCACAACAAAGGTCTGATCTCCAAAATATATAGAGAACTCAAGAAACTAGACTTTAAAATGCTAATTAACCCAATTAAAAAATGGGGCACTGAACTGAACAGAGAATTCTCAACAGAAGTTCAAATGGCCAAAAGACACTTAAGGTCACGCTCAACCTCCTTAGTAATCAGGGAAATGCAAATCAAAACAACTTTGAGATATCATCTTACACCTATCAGAATGGCTAAAATAAAAAACTCCAATGATAGCCTTTGCTGGAGAGGCTGTGGAGGAAGGGGAACCCTCATCCATTGCTGGTGGGAATGCAATCTTGTGCAACCACTGTGGAAGTCAGTGTTTCGGTTTCTCAGGAAATTCGGGATCAACCTACCCCTAGACCCAGCAATAACACTCTTGGGAATATAGCCAAGAGATGCCCTATCATATGACAAAAGCATTTGTTCAACTATGTTCATAGCAGTATTATTTGTAATAGCCAGAACCTGGAAACAACCTAGATGTCCTTCAATGGAAGAATGGATGAAGAAAGTGTGGAATATCTACACATTAGAGTACTACGCTGCGGTAAAAAACAATGACTTCTCGAATTTTGCATGCAAATGGACGGAAATAGAAAACACTATCCTGAGTGAGGTAACCCAGACCCAAAAAGATGAATATGGGATGTACTCACTCATAATTGGTTTCTAGCCATAAATAAGGGTCACGGAGTCTACAATTGGTGAACCTAAAGAAGCTAAATAAGAAGGTGAACCCGAGGAAAAACATATAGTTATCCTCTTGGCTATGGGAAGTAGACAAAATTGCCGGGGAGAAAATTGGGATCTTGGGGGTGGGGTGGGATGGGGGTAAGGGGAGATGGGGAGAGAAAAGTGAGAAGGGGAGGATGGGGGAAACTTGGGGAAACAGGATGATTGGGATATAGGAAGGATGGATAGGGGAGCACGGAAGCACAATTCTTAGTTAATGGAGCCACATTAGGGTTGGCAAGAGACTTGAACCTAGAGTGGCTCCCAGGAGCCCAAGGCGATGTCCCCAGTTAGTTCCTTGGGCAGCTGATAGGGAACCTGAAATGACCCTATCCTATAGCAATACTGACGAATATCTTGCATATCACCATAGAACCTTCATCTGGTGATGGATGGAGATAGAGACAGAGACCCACACTGGAGCACTGGACTGAGCTCCCAAGGTCCCAATGAGGAGCGGAAGGAGGGAGAAGATGAGCAAGGAAGTCAGGACCACGAGGGGTGCACCCACCCACTGAGACAGTGGGGCTGATCTATTGGGAGCTCACCAAGGCCAGCTGGACTATGACCGAAAAAGCATGGGATAAAGCCGGACTCTGAACATGGCAAGCAATGAGGGCTGATGAGAAGCCAAGGACAATGGCACGGGGTTTTGATCCTACTTCATGTTCTGGCTTTGTGGGAGCCTAGCCGGTTTGGATGCTCACCTTCCTAGACATGGACGGAGAGGGGAGGACCTTGGACTTTCCACAGGGCGGGGAACCCTGACTGCTCTATGGACTGGAGAGGGAGGGGGAGAGGAGTGGGGGGAGGGGAAGAGGGGTGGGAGGAGGGGGAGGGAAATGGGAGGCTGGGAGGAGGCTGAAACTTTTTTTTCCTTTTCTCAATAAAAAAAAAAAAAGTTAACTCTCAGCTATTTCTCCAGTACCAAACCTGCCTGCTGCCATGCTCCTGCCATGATGATAATGGGCTAAACCTCTTAAACGATAAGTATCCCCCAATTAAATGCTTTCTTTTGTACGTATTTGCCTTGGGTCATGCAGTGACTAAGGCACCTTGCTTCCACGAACATGAAAAAAGTAGGACTTCCCTACTTAAAGATGCATAATGCTAACTGTTAAAGACACATAACAGATCACAAGTACCACACTGAATATAAGGAATGGCATTATCCATTATCCAGCAAAGCTTTACATTTTTGAGCCTACAGAGAAAACCCTAATTTCCCTGGGAACAGGATGTGAGTATGTGTCAGGCCTGGTGAAAGCGCTGCAGTGGCTCTAACGTCTGCACTGCTGCAGACTGAGACTTCCCTCCACTCTGAGTGCAGTTTTCTCAGTCACTCTCTGCTGACCTTTCCCAAGTTACATTTCCTACTGACTTTGATACTCGACTTTCTTTCCTGGGGAGGTAAATCAAATTAGAGAATCACCTGATTTCAATAGCAGCAGTTTCTACTTCACACCTGCAATTCACATAGCAACCGTAGTTATATATGCCTTGTGACGGCTTAGAGAAAGGCTAGCTAGGGATTTAACAGTTTAATTAGATTTCCTGTTATTGAAGTCATGATACAAACCCCAGATGAGTAATTTTCAAGGTGTGAGACATGAAGTATAGAAGGCTGAAAGGATGGAAAACATTAATAGAACTGTTTAATTAAAATACAGAAATGCTATCTTGAAACAAAGTAGTAATATGGTTGTGCTGACAACAATTTCACATCTAAAGAAATTTAAAACTTGGCCAAAAAGTGTCCAAGGAGAGCACACTTAAGAAACCTTTCTGAAGAAAAGTTTTTGGTCTATTACTAACAACCTAAGATATATTTATACATAATGTGTCAGCTCCTATCTAATTACTTGCTATTTATCAACTCATTTAATCCTCACAGCAATTCTCATTATATGTACGGAAACAGAATTACAAAGTCACAATGACCAGCCATGGACTCAGATTAGTTTGGTTGTGAACCCAGGGAATGCTCAGTATATGCCCTGCCATTATCCTATGTACCCCAAATCCTGACTTTAGACTTTTAATTATAGGCTATGTAGTGCTAAATAAGGAAGTAAAACAAATATTCTAGAAAACATTTATAGTGCTTTCAGATTTGTACTTCAAATATATTAGATAACACAAATTTTTCACATATAATACCTTATACTAATAATGTACTTAAGGTGTATATATTATCTTTTAATTCAAAGGATAACAAATATAGATTGAAATCCAAATGGCACAACTACAACTTAAATATCTTTTTATATTAAAATTAGGATATTTCCTAACATGTTGTCTAGCTATTTCCTTCAAATTCAATTGTTCCATTGTGAAGGAGGAAAGAAGCTCAGGAAGTCAAGGAAACAGGAAGCTCAGAAAGTTATAAGACTCATGGGTTACTGGGGAGACTCTTCAGTGGAGCTGCCTACAAACCAGGCAGGAGGCACCCAGGATGGGTGGGCCTTCTAGTCATTCAGCTCCCTTGAAGTATCCACCCAATGAACGTACACTAAGGGAGATTCAGGAGCAATAGCTTCTTTGGTCTGTTGATGGTGCCTAATCTGGGGGAATAGTCACTGGCTGACATTTTCCCCAAGAAAAGTCACACAACATATGCACTGTCAAATCCAATACATTCATTCAGTTACAGATATAAGTATTGCATTTAAGTGTAAAAGACACAAACTGCAAGGATGCCAGGTGCAGGGAGGGAGGTATGGGTCAGAGACAAACATTACCAATTACTTACAACATTTCAGGTGAACACCTGACAGTTCTATTTCATACATACTATTTTTATTTTATGTGTATTGCCTGTGTGTGTGTGTGTGTGTATCTGAACACTACATGCATGAGTTACAGATAGCTATGAGCCACCATGTGGGTGCTGGGAATAGAAGCTGGGTTATCTGGAAGAGCAGTCATTCCTGAGAGCCTATAATAACCACTGAGCCACTTCTCCAGTTCATTACAAGTACTCTTAACTATGAAAACACATTAAGGCCACTATGAAATTTAACACATAATTTCATAAATGGAATAGCATATAGATTGATATAACCGTAATGCCTCCTTTTCAGTACAGTATATTACAGACTTATTAATAGAAAATTATTTTTGATAATAATTTAAAAATTTTGTTTACAGCAAGATCACCACAAACTAATATGTATTATTGCTTTTCCAAAAGTTTCAATATATTATTATGCTGCATAAATGTAATGTACTGTTGAAATTATGTTTGGTATCAGACCTGTCATATCTACTAAAGCAACAAATGTAATCATTTAAGCTTAAAGGACAGTTTAGAATGAATATGAGAGCAGGTAATTCCCTTCAAGTAATTAAAAGGCTATCAGGTAGAATAACAGACATTAGATTTTAGGTCAAAAGAAGAAAGCCTGTTACAGTGAAATGTCACAACTGGAACAGACCACCTCATGAGATATGCAATCAGAGCTTAATTAACTAAATATTAGGGATGTTTTCAGGAAGATTCAAAAACAAGGTAAGTATTAGCCAATGATCTTATTCTCTATCTTTATTTCAATGTAAATTGATCTTTCATGTAACACTGGACATTCCATTTTAGATTTAATCATCAGCGCAGAGAGAATTTTTGATGTAGAAACAAACCTAAAAACCACTGGGTTAGATATACAGAAAGATTTTTTTTTTCAGGTCAAATTTCATTTACTTAAAGAATGTTTTCTTCACATTTATTTATTGTGTGTGTGCATGTGTGCAAACATACACTGAAGCATGCACATGGATGTCAAAGCACAACTGGGAGAGTTCTCTGTTTCTATCATGTGAGCGTCAAGGATCAAACTCTGGCTTGGTGGAGAGTGAATGACCAGCTAAGTATCTGTCCACACTTCAAATTCTTAAATGGTTTCAAGGTTAAAAACACAAAAATTTTATCTTGATTTAGAAAGAAAGGAATCTTACTTACCATTTTTTTCTGCAAAGGCAATTGCGGCTTCTTTGGTACTAAAGGTTAAAACCATGTTGGAGAGGGGATCAGCCCTAGAAGAAAGAATGCCCATGATTTAATAGTAAGCCTTGGCTGCAAGACAATCAAAGTTTTAAATGCAGTGTTTAGAAAATAGACAGTTGGGGGGGCTGGAGAGATGGCTCAGTGGTTAAGAGCATTGCCTGCTCTTCCAAAGGTCCTGAGTTCAATTCCCAGCAACCACATGGTGGCTCACAACCATCTGGAATGAGGTCTGGTGCCCTCTTCTGGCCTGCAGACATACACACAGACAGAACATTGTATACATAATAAATAAATAAATAAATATTAAAAAAAAAGAAAATAGACAGTTGGTTTAATATCAAGAAAATTATGACAATATTTTATTTGTAATAATCTCTGAAAATACTTTATTTCTGTATTAAGTCTGATTTTTCTAGTATGCATTATCTAATAATAAAAACCATAATTTCAAAAACATTTAAGTTCTCTTTACTAAGGTCTACTAAACTCTATTAAAAGGGCAGTGTAAAGTTTTGAATTAAAAAACCCCAGAAGAGGGGGCTGGAGAGATAGCTCAGAGGTTAAGAGCATTGCCTGCTCTTCCAAAGGTCCTGAGTTCAATTCCCAGCAACCGCATGGTGGCTCACAACCATCTGTAATGGGGTCTGTTGCCCTCTTCTGGCCTTCAGGCATACACACAGACAGAATATTGTGTACATAATAAATAAATAAATATTAAAAAAAATAATAAAAAATAAAAAAAAAACCCCAGAAGATTCCCAAACTGACCTTAGAAACTTCAATATCAAGAAATTTACTGCCGAGTAGAATTGCCAGTACAGACAGCCCCTAGTTTATGATAATTTTACCTAAGATTTTCAACTTTATGATGGTGACAGAGCAATATATAACAACAGAAAATATTTTTCTTTTAAAAGTATTTGAGTTTGTATTCATGTTTGTACATTGTGAATGTACAGTACATGTGGAGGTCACAGGACCACTTACAGGAGTTGATTTTACCCAGTGAGTCAGACCATTGGGCCCAAGGAACTATTTTTCACATTTTAAATGTTCACCTGAATGATGAGCAACAGCAATGAAACAGTTAGCCATGTTGGGCCACAGTGTAAACAACTGCATCACTAAACTACTATGTCCAATAGGTTAGTAGTAGGAAACATTTTCAACTCAAGATGCTTTCTATTTATAATGGGTTTGCTGGGACAGTAACCCCATTGTAGTTAAGAAGCATCCACATAATACAAATCCTGAAAACTGAACCTTCTCTCAACAAAACTTCATTACTAATAATGTTCTTTTAAGGGAAAGGTCTATAAAATAAGAACAAACATTCTGAGACTTGACATCCCTTATATTGATGTTTATAAAAGTATAACCATGTTTGCTATAAATGTTTAATGTAAATCTCTCAGATGAATATGACATTCTCTGGAAACTTACTCAAAACTATGGAAGTGGGGGGCTAGGAACATAGCTTAGCTGGTACATACAGTTCTTGACTAGATGCAAGAAACCCTAGGTTAATCCCTAGAACTGAATAAAACTAAATATGGGAGGCAGATACCTGTAATTGCAATACTCTGGGATGGAGAATCAAGACTAGCCTGCACTCTATGCCCCCTATCTTGAGAAGAAAAAGGAGAAATACTCTGGGCAACCTGGACATCTGAAAGATATATGACATAAGCAGAGAGCTCAAGTAGCTCTCCCTGAGCTGAAGCCCCACAGGCTGCTGATGAAGTTCTGGTCATAAACTGTAAGTCTGGGAATCCTATGATCCCTATAAGCCTGGATTCCTATACTAAATTCCCCTTTTAAACTAGTTATATTAGTTCTAAAATCGAATGATGTTTTTGTAGTGATACTACTTTCCAAGGTATATGTGGTTTCACAGTTGATAGTTAAATAAACTAGTAATCTTCAGAAGTGATAATATAAATATGACCAAGTGATTTGAAGAGTTTCAACATACACACTGGCTTCATTCAGAATAGTGTGTGTGTGTGTGTGTGTGTGTGTGTGTGTGTGTGTGTGTATGCTTGTGAGAGGGAGAGAGAGGTAGAGAGAGGAAGAGGGAGAGAGACCTCAGAAATCAAGAGAACAGATCCATTTCCTCCAAAGGTGACAGAGCTTTTTAGTTACGTGCTGTATAAAGAACTACACGTAGGTTAAATGGTAAAACTGTTAACAAGCACTCATTCTTCCAGCTGGTTTATCATTCTCCTCCTTCATGTCTTATATTTTATAATTCTTTCTAGGTAATATTGCTACCAAGATCTTAATCTTTCTGTCTCCTTTATTTGATTCCACCCCACCATTTAACATGTTACCACATTTATCTTCCAGTTATTTATTTCCCAAATCTAGTGCCAAGCCAAAACTCCAAACAGTTTCTATCATCCACTGTGGTGGTTTCCACCTCCTTACCATTTAAGCCCCTGTATAGTATGGTCAGAAGGCTTTCCAGATATTTTAAATTATCCCCTCATAAGTAACCAACTGGTCAAATTAGACTTGTTTCTATGAACACACAGCCTGCACCTGCCCAACAGTGCAGTTGTTCCTCCCATTGAGAATACTCTCCCAGCATCTCTACATGTGGAAATCCACTGCAATCATCTCATGGCTCAGTTTGAGTACAAATCTTTTCCATGAAATCTCTTATACCCTGTGTCTTTCAATCTTTATATTTCTATTTATACTTTGATACTCTATTTGCTCAATTCTCAACTACTGAGGTTCCAAGTCAGTAATGATAAAGAAACCTGTATCTTAGTAAGTGTACCTGACTAACAAATAAATACATGCATAGCAATTATAAACTCTCAACAGAAAAAAATGGATGACAGAGTGTAGTGGCATTTCATTTGTATTTTAATAAATAAAGATTGCCTGATGATCAGAGAGTAAAAAAACAGCCCCACTGGTCACTTTTACATACCAGGCAGTGGTACGCACACCTTTAATCCCAGAAGCCACACTAGTTGCCATAGAAACCGGGTGGTGTATGCTTTTAATCCCAGTGGTACACACCTTTAATCCCAGCCCTAGAGAGTAGTATAAAACAGGAGGAGACAGCTTTCAGACACATCTCATTCTGAGATTCCTGGAGGCAGAATCACCATTTCGGACTGAGGTAGAGGTAAGAGCCAACCACTGGCTGGCTGTTTTGCTTTTTGGATCTTCAGGCTGAACCCCAATTTCTCTCTCTGAGTTCTTATTAGTAGAACTTCAAGAGAGAGACCAGAAGCAGAAATAACTGGAGAGAATTCTGCCCTCTCTGAAAACAAACTATATAGGAATTCAGTTTCACAGTTGCCCTTAGGAATTCTCTAGTTTAGACAGATAGGAACAAAGAGAAGTCAAGCAAAAAGACATAGCTTGTCAACACAAGAAATTTGAAGATCAAGTACAGTCCAACTAGCAGAGCATCTGGACACACGGGGTGAAATCTGTGAAGCGGGAAATCTATAGAGCAGTAAACTTTTGTACTGTGTATGAATGGACAGGTCTGGGAAGACTGAAAAAAAAACTGAATAGCGATTTCAGCAGCTGTCCACTTCAGGCTAAAACAAGTCAGGACTTGTGAGCACCTTGTACTCTCCACTGGAAAGCCAGAAAGACTATGTCTTTTAAACCTAAAATAGTGAGTTTCAGAACTAAGCCATGCCCCCACAAGGCAAAGCTAACAAAACAAAAAACAAATAAACAAACAAACAAAAAAAATCAATCCTTCACTGGTTCCAGTGAATATGACTATCTATCAGAACAAAACTCTACAGAGGTGCTGCCATTAATTCAAGACAAGTAAGGATCAGAATTAGTGTATTACTAATACTCCACGATATAAACTAATTTGATTATAAATCAATACCTATTGTTTTAAAGGTTAAGTAAAATATCAGGAAGTCACACATTCATTAAAAGATCCAAATGAGATTCTTCACTTCAGATTACATGTAAAAAGTCCAACTGAAACCAAAGTGTTGCTTTGGTACTAACATGGATGCATCCTGTAAATACAATGTTGTTCAAAAACACCAATCACAGAACATTATTATATAAAATAAATACAAAAATAGGCTAAACGCTTCTAGGATATTAGACATGCTGTTTCTCAATGTGGATATATTAATACATTTCCTTGTTCTTTATGGTGTTTTTTAAAAGAGTCATTTTGTAGACCTTTAGAATTTTAACATAAATGTATGAAAATTATCATAAATATCTAACAAGTATTGACTTAATGGAGTTATGACTCCATAAATTATCTACAAAGCCTTCTTGTACTGAGAGTTTTTCTTCAATGACCTCTGACAAGAAAAGAATGCTAAGTGCAGAGGTCTGGCCGAGAGATGCCCGTCCACAGACTCACATATTTGCATCTCTGGTCACCAGCTGGTGCCATGTGTGGGGAGACTAGGGAACCCTTAGGAGTAGAAGCCTCTGGAGGAAGCAGGACACTAGGGCAGACTTTGGAGGTTTATGACCTCACTCTACCTTGTGTTAATCTATCAGCTTCTTCTGTGTGGGTGAACATGTCATCAATCAGTTTCCCAATCCTGAAACGAGTGCTATCAAATCTGACCAGGAGACCTACAAAGCCACATATATGCCTATAAACACTGAAAAAAATCCACAAAAATACATTCTATATTGACTGAGTTCTCTTCTGTGGAGATAGTAAGTATGTGCACAATAGTGGATGGATAGAAGGCAGGAGAGGACTAGCCAATAATTCTCTGTATCCAGATTACTACCATCTACAACTACAAACACTCATTTACTTGTTCACAAAAGCCAATAAAGAGAAGTAGGCCATACTTAAAGAATTTACAAAACTGATCCAAATAATTCAAACAAACTTTAAAAGTAATGAAGTCAAACAGTGCTAAAGGAAAGGATGGCACAGACAATACTATTTACTAACTGATAAGCCAAAGGACTAATGACAAGCCTACGAATCATGTGCACATTATTATGTTATTATGGGTCAAGCATACTATGTGGATAATGAGGCAACAAAAGAATTAACAACATCAAAATTCATGAATACCTCTGCTTAAATGAGAGGGCCTTCCATGCCCACGTGACATGAAACAAAATACTTGTTTCTAGAAACTAAATGACAAGTTGATACTTCTCTGATGAGATGGCTCAGTAGTTGAGGGTGCTTGCTGCCAAACTTGATGACATGATCTCACATTCATACACATGCACACATTAAATAAGTATCAAAAAAGAAAGAAATCTATGAGTTTAATATCCAACTAGCTGTACTATTAAATGACAAGGAATGTTTATTTTGGCCCCACTATGCTTCTCTGTTGGTTTAAGGAGATTTATACTGTAAAAACCCTGGGTCAAACTTATGATGATTTTTATATCTTATAATACTTTTCAAGTTTACATAAAGATAAATCTTTTACCTTTGAGTTCTAACATTTAAAAGACTCAGGTAATTAAAAGAGCATAAGAAGCTTGCCATTCAGATATAAAATGTCAATACAGTATTTAAAAATGAGAATTTTAAAATCTTAAAAACAAACATCAAGGAACACTTATTGTTAGAAAGTAGGCTTTCAAAAATTATTTTTTTTAAATAAAATAGTACAAATAGGTAACAATGAAAACTACATTTAAAACCAAAACTATGTTCATTAGCTTACTTACACAGCAACCTCCTTATATGCCTCCACTGGATCAAGCAGATAGATAGATAGATAGATAGATAGATAGATAGATAGACAGACAGATGATCTGGGATGAAGCTTCTGTTGTGACACTATCAGAACTGCAGAACTGCCCTTTCTGTTAGCACTGCTCTACTTTAGGAATCAGCGTCTTTTCTGTTTGTGCATTAATTGCAAGTCAGGAAAAGGATCTCCAAACAAACACAAAGATTCTCTTTCTAGGTGCTATGTCAAGTTCCTTGAGCTTTTAAGTGTAAAATTTCTTCCCCATTGGAACTAGGTCCCTGTTAATCCTCCATGTTACGTCATATGGCAGATTCAAACCAAAGGCCAATTTACTAGGTGGGAAATTCATCAAATCTAGGTCACATACATGGCAAAATTTTGGGTCTTTAGAAAAAGAAGTCTTTTAGGTATAAGATCTACGGTTGTTTCTCTTTCAACATATTCAAGAATGGCCTATCAGTACTAAAAATTAATTCAATTCAATAGATACTTTCTTCTTCCTGTTAAAGTAGTTCTCTCATCAAAATGAAAATTTTAAGCTGAAGACGTGGATTTGATGTAGAATATTTACCCAGCATGAATAAAGTCGTAGAGTTGATCCCGGTACCACATCTGCACACAACTATAAACTTACAGACATATATAGAACTAGGCTTTAAGTATTTTCCTACACTCAACATGCTAATCTTAGATATATAATGATAACATATAGGTAGATTTGAGAACCCAAATTATGGTGAAGCCATTAATTTGAGATACAAAATTTTAGGATTTAGTTTTATTATTATGTGTATGCATGTGTGTTCATATGGAGGTATGTGCACATGAAAGCAGATGTCCATAAAAGTCAGAGGTGTCAGACTACCCTGGAGCTGGAGTTACAAAGTGTGAGTCACACAGTGTGAATCAAACTTGGATCTTCTTAAAGATTTCTTAACCACTGTGCCATCTCTGCAACCCAAGATGAAAATTTTGTAAATAATAAACTTATAAGTACAAAAAGTTCACCTTCCAATATCAACAGTTTTACAAAAAGGTTTAAAATATGTCACAAAAGAAGTCAAAACTCACTGTATAACAATAATTTTATGTACTATTTTTTTTTGTTATTAAGAAGACAAACATTTGCTGGACAGTGGTAGTATATGCCCTTAATCCCAGCACCTGGGAGTCAGAGGCAGGCGGATCTCTGTGAGTTCGAGGCCAGCATGCTCTACAAAGCAAGTTCAAGGACAGTCAGCGTTGACACCCCCTACCCCCCCCCCCCCCAAAAAAAAAGAGAAGCTAAACATTGAAAAACTAACGATTCTGATATCAGCAAATGTGACAGTTCCTGCTTTGGTAAAACAAATCAGTCATGGGTCTTCATACTATATTTTTCAAGCTAATTTTGGTTACTTCTTAATATGACAGCAAAGAGAACCAATTTTTAAAAAATATTTAAGATGCAAAACAACAGTGTAGACAAAGCAACTATATAAAAGCTCTCTTATTTGAAAGACACACTTTACTTTGAAGAAACTATTCTGAAAAGAACTTTACCTCCTAATGCATGGAGAGTGTGTAATTTCCAAACCATATATTAATTAAGTAATCAGAATTTCAGAATCAAAGTGTGATATTTCTAGATGGAAAGCTATGATGATGACAACTGGAGGGTATTTGCAGAAGCATAGCAAAGTGAAATGTACTTACTAAACCAAATGATGAGGCTTAAGACACTACACAAAGTGTGATATCTGGCATTTGAGAAAATGTTTTAGCAGCAGTCAGGTCTCTCTGGCCCTTTCTTGCCCTTCTATCCTGAAGCAGGCTGTATTTATTAGAAGTTTCTGACCTTCCTCTGACGTCATTATGAAATATTCGTTCTAGAGGTGACTGTTATACCTAGAGAAAAGGAATGTATCCCTGAAGACACGGGCTACAGATGAAAACTTAAAGAAAGCTAAGTTACTACCATTAATTAGATCACAGCTCCTTAGTCTAGGCATACCTTTACACAACTGTCTATACATCATCAAATCTAAGCATAAGAATACACAGGATTCTCTCTCTTTAGGTCTTTATTTGAAGACTGTTTCATATAAAGTGTATATACATTTTATGTTTATTCTATTATTAATCTTGCTATTGTTGATGCCTCAGTCATTCATGTTGTGATGGTATAAATACATCTGTGTGTGTGAGTGTGTGTCTGTGTGTAAATTTCACAAAATTTAACCTTTTCTTCTCTCTTTCCCTTCCTCACCCCAACTCGTTTTTTTCCTTTTTCATAGTGTCTCATTGTTTTAACCCAGGCTGGTTTCAAACTCCTTATCTTTTGCCCCATTCTTCAAAACTCAGGTATTATATGTATTGGCCACTTATCTAAAGTGTTTTCATCAAAAACAACCTAAAATATAAAAGGTATCAATGCTGAACCAGGATCTGTTATTGCTAGAGATGCATTTGTATGTGAATTCCAGGAACAGATGAACACACTAAAATCTCACAGAACTCAAAAGAATGATTATAAGATTCTAACCAGTAGGTATGGATAAAGAATTATCTTCTAAATTTCCACTGGAAAAACATGATTTACAAAAGACTCCATGAAATATAAAATATAAGATACCAACTCTTGGAAACTATGTTTTATATAATTTGCTCAATATAATTCTATAAAAACTTTAATATTGAAGAATATCTAATAAAAAGTTTCCAGAATACAGCAACAGAAAACGATGTCTTCTAAAATTTATTCCACTATGTTCTAAAAATTACTTTATAATTAATTTATAATCTTAATCCTAAAATCTCAGGAAATTACAGGTATCCCTCAAAATTACCTAATTTCTGATTTCTGTTCGATACTTCTGATAAACAAATAAATGTCATGCAGGAATATTATTTGAATTTAAAAATAAATCGAAGCTGGGCATGATGGCACACTAAGGAAATAGATGGTAGCACGGCCACAACACCGAGGCCCATCTGGTCTATAGCAAGTTCTGGGCTGACCAGAGCGACACAGTGAGAGCTTGCTTCAACAAACTAAAAACCAAACCAAAACAAAGACCACTTAGTGTCACCAAACTATTGCTATCACTCCCAGAGTATTTTCAACTAGTATTCATATCATTTATGAATGCTGTCTTATAACAGTATCCAAAAATAGTACTTCTGCAGTTTATCGTTATGTCCCAAATACATATGAACACGACTACAGATATATAAAAGAATATATATAATTCCATGTTTTTGGTTGTAATAAAATCTAACTGTACTAAAAAGGATTTTCACAAGCTTACTAGCTCTAAGAAAAGTTAGTGTTTTCTTTACAAAAAAATTTACTATTTTTAACAGAAAATCCGAAAAAAAAATTCAGAGTACTCACGTTGATGCCCAACCCATCAAAGGATTTTCCCATCTCTCTCTGGTATCAAACTCCAACTTCCATTTCTTTGTGTTGTTTACTCCAGACTGCATGTTATTGCGAGCAGGAACAAAGATCCTGACCTTTCTGGTTTTTATGTGCTCTTCTGGAACACCAGTTAAAGTGGTGATATCCTGAGGAAGAATAAGAAAGTAAACATCTTTGAACCCCTGCATAGCGACTGATGCACCTTTCCCACTTCCCACCTCTATATGCTTTTTTTCTGATTTGTTTACCCTGATATTTTATTTTATGAATCTCCACTGTGCTATCTGTAAATAGTAAAGGTGAGAATTAGTTTTGGGGTACAGTGAAAGAGGGGCTATCAAATTTTTTTTCTTTCCTTTGTACAGATTGAACCTGAGGCCTTTTGTAGGCCAAGCAAGTGGCTAAGCACTGAACTATCAACAGTTCATCATGCTATCCCGTCCTTTCTTTGATAGACTCTCTTGTATCCAATAGCTTCCCCCTGCTTCCACCTCTGAAGGCACCATGGTCATTTCTGAGGAGTGTGTAGACAATGCTGCATTCTTACTTTGTGATAAGGGATAACAGATGTTACAGAAGCATAAAAGGCCCATTACGGGAAAGTTGTTACCTTCTAGCCAAAAGAATGAAATCTGCCTTGACTCCTCCCTTAAGAATTAATTTCATGGTTGTAAACGGAGACTGTGAGTTCATTTCCCAGTCGCCAGACCCGAATAATCACACAGAAACTATATTAATTACAACACTATTTGGCCAATGGTTTAAGCATATTCTTAGCTAGCTCTTACATCTTAAATTAATCCGTTTCTATTAATCTGTGTATTGCCACGAGGCTGTGGCTTACAGGTAAGATTCTGGTGTCTTCTCTTTTGGCAGATACATGGAGTCTGCCTGACTCTGCCTTCTTTCTCCCTGCATTCAGTTTAGTTTTCCTGCGAACCTATATTCTGCCCTGCTGCAGGCCAAAGTAGCTTCTTTATTAACCAGTGGTAATAAAACATATTCATAGCATACAGAGGGGAATCCCACATCACATGATACCAGCCAATCACCTTGCCAAGGGACCATCCCTCTGGTGTGGGTTCACCTTAAGTCAAGTTAAAGAGACAGGAGGAGTAATTAGTGCTTATTAGGGATAAATTTTCCTTTCCAGAATTCCTATCCCCTAGTGTAGTACCTATAGGGAGTCATCAAGAGGTTCTGAGTGAGAACTCAGGAAGGTCTAACTTTTCCTGATTCTCTTCTAGATGGTTGCCAGAGCCTATGTTTGCTTTCTTTGGTACTCTGAATTTGTTTTTGTAGAAAGGGTTTCTCTGTGTAGCCTGGTTATTCTGGAACTTGCTTTGTAGGCTAGGCTACTAGCCTCCCTGAGTGCTGGGATTAAAGGTGTATGCCACCATGCCCAGGGGTACTTTGGAATTTTTAAGTCTTTCTCTAAAGCTCCTGTCACTGAGAAGTGACTGCTTGTCCATCATGTGACTGACCTCCATGCTGCCTTAACTCAAATGCCATGACCTTTCCTCTTCTCTATTTCCCTCCTCCTGGCTGCTATGAAGGTATACAGCTTGCTGCCCTGGGGTTTCTCTTTTAAAGGCTAGCTTAAACTGTCCCTGAGATTTTTGAATTCTTTCATTAATGAGACTAACAAACCTAAGGGGGATTCTGACATCTCTGATAGCATCTGGTGATTCCATCAGAACTCCCCCAAATTTCTGGTATCAGACAAAAGAGAAATACATATATTTATATAAATACAATATGTAAAAATATAAATGCAATTTTTAATAAAGAGACACAATCACTAAATTTTAAATAGAAAAAAAAACCCAGTCAGTGGTTTTTATGTCAAACTGCTCACCACTGGGCAAAGTCTGAAACTGTACACAAAAGAAAAAAGCTTTAGTGTTTTCTCTCCCTATGGTGAATGACTGAAAGAGTAACACAAAAATCCTGTAAAGGTATGCCATAAGGTGGGAAGGTATGCCAAAGGTGCCCAACTTCAGAGACAATACAACTGTAAACACCTGTAATCTCTTTCAGTTTTTACACATTTATCCACTAACAAATGCTTCACTGGGAGAATGCATAGAATTTTGATGTTCTAGATTAAACACATTCACCAAACATAGTAGCAGTCAGTGCACACAATAATGAAATAAGTTTGAGTTTAAATCTACAGTTAGTAGTAGGTCACCCTATCATAGTAACCCATCAGAATCATATCAGGGTTCATCATATCATTCCTATTTGGTGTTTTTTTTTTGGGGGGGGGGGTCAGGGGAACGTAGGAGTCGGTATTGATTTCACAAGTCTTCATCTTATTTTGAGACAGGGTCTTTCGCTGAACTGGAATCTCACCTGTTGGCTATACTGGCTGGCTAACAAGTCCCAACGCTCCTTCTTCCTTTTTCTTCCCAGAGCTGGGATATAGGTGTATGCGGACATGTCTGGCTTTTATATGGCTTTTGAGATCTGAACTCAGGGCCAAGAACTTTACCCATTCAGCATCTCAATCCCCAACCATTTATATCTTCTTTTAAGTAAAATATTTAAAATCATTAGGAATAGGGTGGAACACTTGCCTCCCATATGTGAGGCCCTGAGTTCAATTCCCAGGACCATTAAAGGAGGGGAAAAGTTCATATAGAAACTTTTGAATAACGGCTTACAATTAAGAAAGAGAATGAAACGGTTCTATCATGTAACCTGTTTCTGGTACTGTTAGTTTTGTTTCAGTGTCATGTATCCTCTATGAAGGCTGTTCACTTGTAGTGTGTCTATTAATGCTATGAACCAAAGAGCTACAGTAGGAAACACAGCTCACATCTGTGCTGAGATTAAAAGAACAATTCTTTGTTAATTCAGTGAGTACCCAGTTCCCTGCTTAGCACAATATCTTTCTAGCTGTACCAAGAGACATGGCTATTTTGTTACAGCTTACATAGTTAGAGAAATTACCAAAATAATGCAGAAACATGTTTACATGATAACAGGATTTCTTGTGTGTACTGTGTGGAGTGCCTGTGTGCACATCAGGTAGTTTTCTCAGTTTCACTAAAGCTGAAACTCACTGACGTGGCTACTTAAGCTAGCTCGCTTGCTCTGGGGTCTTGCGCCCCCACTCTCCAGTGACCCTGCCGAGTTTGATGTGGAGGGATCTGAACTCCAGCTCACACAGTTGTCGCAAAGCACTTTTTCCCTTAAGCCATCTTCTCAGCCACACAGGAAAATCCAATGCGCACTGACTGACATTAGTTTGTTTTTTTAAGTTTTCTTACATCTAGGATAAAAGGCAACTAAGTGCTTTATATCTAGGAGACAAGAAAATGAGTACAATTAGCACAGAAAGCTTAAGCATTAATAATATGTGGTAGCTTTAAAATTGTGTGTGTGTGTGTGTGTGTGTGTGTGTGAGAGAGAGAGAGAGAGAGAGAGAGAGAGAGAGAGAGAGAGAGGAAGAGAGAGGAAGAGAGAGGAAGAGAGAGCGCAGGTTCAGCGCACTTCTGGAGGTCAGAGGATTACTCTCAGGAATTTGCTCTCTCCCTCCATTTGAGTGATCTGGGACTTGAACTCAAGTCATTAAGTCTGAGTCCAAGTACCTCACCCAATTGAGATACCCCACTTGCTCTAATTGGTAATTTTTAATTGTTATGTTCAATTTAAATAAAATCATAACTTTTTTATTTTTGAGGCACTGTTTGCTTAGCACTTATAAGGGACAGACTAAATCTCCAGCATGGCACAATGTGTGTGCTCAACACACACACACACACACACACACACTCACACACACACATACACACACACACACAAGTGCACATGCACATAGGTTTTTGTTTTTTGTTTTTGGAGGGGCTGGGAATTGAACTTAAGGCATCACACATGGCTGGGCAAGAACTCTATTACTAAGGTATATTCCCAGCCCAAATGTTAACATTTTAAGGAGTGACTTTCTAAAGCACAGTCCTCTACTTAGAGCATGAAGTAACATGGCTCTGTGGGAGGTCCTCACTGTTTATTTCTTCTTTTGTAACTGCCATTTAGTTAACTGTTTACTATTTTCTATTGTTACGCTAATATATTTTCTAAGAAGATCTATTTATAATCATGTGTGTGTGTGTCTGCAGATAGATGTGAGTGCAGGCGCTGGAAAAGTCCAGAAGAGAAGGTCGGATCTCCTGGAGCTGGAGTTACAGGAAGTTGTGAGCTACATGTGATGCTGGAACGTGAGCTCAGGTCTTCGGGGAGAATAATTCTCAGTCTTAGCTGCTGAGCCATCTTTCTAGTCCCAGATTAAGATCATATTTCCTCATCATAGTTGCATTAAAGTATAAACACTCATTATAAGCATGCTATAAAATTAATAGGCAGGCATCTTCTCCAAATCCCAGATCAACGCCTCTATTTTGCACCAAGTTTCTAATGAATAAAATTATGCTACGTGGCTTGTTTTCAACTGTATGAAAGGAAACATTCAATTAATCTTTTACATCCAGAAAATGAGATTATAAGAAATATATATATATTTTTCATACTTCTATTCTGTGATGCATGCATGGCAAAAAATTAAACCAATAAAGCTTACACTTTATATTGTTTCATGTCCCCTCAAATTCTGGCACTTTCTTATTGGCACATGCCCCCAATTTTAAGCTGATAGTCAAGCGAGGAGCTTCTGAGTTTTGAAGCCCTTACAAGTTGTCCTGACAGACTCACTGTTTTTGCCTGCAGAAGATGTGAGCTGCTGCAGGACAGAAGATACAAAGGCTTGGCAGCTCACACACTTGAGACACCTAATGCTTACAGAGCTCTGTAATTCCCAGTCCCTGCAGATGCACTCTCAGCCCAGACAAACTTACTTCCTATGCCTGTAAAATGCGCTGACACTCTGTTGCTATCATTTCATGCAAACAGAATTAGCAAGTGACAAGAACCTCTTCTCAAACACACACTGCAGTGGGCTAACTCCAGGAGTCCATTCAAGCACTGTAACACTTGGAAAGATCTGTGAGCCCTATGTTGAATGTCTTCAGGGATTCCCCTTTTCTCTCAATTCACGCTGAGCTACCTGTGACTCATATTTTGCAAACGAGCAAACAAATAAAACACCTACAAATTAACCTGAATTAGTGGAATTCTCCATGGA